CAAATTAAAAGTTTTCGTGCAGGTTGGTAAGCCACAGGAAGCAGTAGCTAGAAACCATATTAGATTCAACGAGATCCAAGTATTATTCTAGGAACAAACAAACAAGGGAAAATTCCATGAATTAATTTGTTCCAGTTTTACCTGCAGCAATTACTTACTAAGCACAGTTGTCCAGCAGAATTTCCTACAAAAGCTACAGAAATTAAAAGGATGCAGCACTGGAGAAGAGAATCTAGCAGAAGTTATCAGATACAGAGCTTACTGTAAGGAGGCAAAAATAAATTCACCATCACTGTTTGCAACGATCCTTAATTATCATTCTAAAATTACTCTTCACCCTATAGAGACCAAGTCAGTCTCCCCTCCCTTTTTTAAGTGCAAAGATCTCGTTTATGAAGTTCTGAGTCACAACACAAAACAAAATTTAACCTTCATTAACGCTGGTAGCACAGCTGGTGAAGAGCTGTGAAATCCAGCACCTGTAACATAAGACTTCTGTACATCACACCTTGGGTCTACCTTGAATCAAATTATTTCACAGTATGACAAGGTAAGTTTTACTTTGAGCAGTATTATAAAACCAAGCAAAAGCTTGTGGGTAGGCGGAAGGAAGAAGAGACATGAGTACTTGGGTGAGAGGGCTCAAAAAAAGAGGTTATAATCAACCATAACACAAACCAACTAGAAGGAATCGGAAGTGCGGTAGTCAGTTTTCATCTTTAGAATTTAAAAACAAAAAGAGAGAGAGAAAAAAAAATTGAAAAGTGAATATCCCACAGTGGTTGAATGATGCAAAGGAACTTATTTCCCGACCTGGATGTACCAAACTTGTTGGTATTTAAATAGGATACTGGACATTTGAAAACACCACCCAAGTCCAACGCACAGCGGCATGGGTACGGCCGCTCTCGACTGCTCATCGCCACCGTGCAGAAATACCGCGCTCCTCCAAGCGTGTGTGTACAGCCGCACTGCCTCAGCATCGGGACAAGCCACCCCTGCCCACAAGCCCCAGCCGTGATGCCCAGACCCCTCTACGCGGTTTCCACGCTCTCCCTCTCACCGGGTCCCTCCCTGCAGAGGGAGGGCTCGCTCAGATGCCGCGGTTTCCAGGCCAGCACCGCGCAGTAATCTGAAATGGTAAGTCTGCTCACCTTCAAAAACTGTACTGCAAGGTTGTAAGAGCTGCCCGTCAGGCAGCTGAGACATTCCTAGTGCTGGAACGACAGTGTCACCCCAGACCGACTAACCCTCCTCTGCCACCGAGCTGTGCACGGATTTCAGGAGCGCCGCAGTGAACAGTAACGGGGCGGTTACGGGCTTTTGGCTGAACGCCTGCCGGATACATCTTCTGTTTGCAGAGGCACAAGAGACCGGGCATACATGTATTTTCTAGGAAACAAAAACCATACTTGAACTATTAGTGTCACCATGCCTGAGCCTGACTCGGGGACAAATCGCGGTAATTTTATCAGCTCTTTATTCAGGGGACACTCAGAGCGGATCACAGCGCTCCTTGCTCCATGCCAGTTCTGGGGTCAGGCTCTGGCCTCGAGAGCAAAGCCAGTCCTCAAAATACATTCACAGCATATACGGAACACACACAATAAATACACTAACGTCCTTTCCCCGCAAAGGCCTGTATGCATTTTTGGGGGCTTATTTAATAACGTTATTCATAGCTAGTTACTCATTATCCACAAATGCTCCAGGTAACGTGTCATTTAGAGTTGCATTTTTGCTGTCCTTAGCAGCGACTAGAAGCGTAACGGTGACAAGGGAAGATTTAGTGGCCAACACAAGCATTTTCAGAACCTTGTTTCAAGAGTTTTGGCAAGTATTCATTCAGCAAAAGAGCACAACCTGACCTCATTAGTGTATTAATAGTGCATGCCTGGCACTTGGGCAGTGACTAACTCTTAATTTAAAATACAAAGGTATTTTAAATATTTGGGGGAGTGGGGGAGCAAATATGATGCAGAAGAATTTCTGTAGCAAGTTGTGCTTGGTTCTTTTCACAGTTGTCAGTGAAACAAGCCTTTAGCTCTGGCAGATCTTTCCCAACACCAGCTACCGTAACACGGTCACACGCAGTATCGGGGAGAAAGCAGAGAAAAGGCTCTTCTTATTTCTTAAGCAAAAGAACTTTCACGCTAACAAACACTCACTAGAAAACAGTTGGGGAGCTGGAGTACCTGTGCCATATAAACAGGCTAGCACATAGGTTGCTCTCAATAAAAAGAGTTTTTCAAAGCTGGTACTCTGAAACTTCACTGGGAAAAGGATAATCACTATTAGTATGAAGAAGTTTGATTTTAAGATTCCTTCAGTGTTGGGCATCTGTAGGTTTATTAGTAACCAGGTGAACATTTAAAAACTAAAAGTATGTCACTTAATATCACCATTAAACTGTCCTATGAAATTCCTACCTTAAAGTACACTGCCAGAACAATCTTGATTATTTTATTATTCACAATTTGAAGAAAGGCTGTTTACTTGAAGGGAGAACGTAACACACGTTCTTTCTCTTCTAAGTCCACAAGCACAGAGAAAACACTGCTAGGGACTACAGGCTACCGACGGCCTCGCTTCTCGCCACTGCCCTCCAAAGGAATTCAGAAATTTCACATTTACAGCCTCGAGATAAAAGGCACGCGCAGGCAGTATCATGCGAAATATCTGCAGTCTGACACTGATCAAACATCGTCTCTACTGAGTCTTGCCTTCAGAAAGGGCTAAAGCTGAAAAAGAGTAAAGGGACTTATTTCTGAATTCGAGCAGCCGAGTCACCTGATAACACACAAATCTGGGACATTCCCAGTAGAACCCTAACTTTCCAGCTGCCACGAGGAAACTCAAGGTACAACTACTTACGGTAAGGGTTAGACAATGGGAAGGTGATTAACAGCTCAGAACAGCCTAGCTGCCACGAGCGTGTATGGAAATGCATTAGGCAGAGTGTTTGGGTTTGGTCACTGTTTGTTTAAAGCTCTACAGCTGGAAGCAAAGGAAGAAGTAAGAACAAAATATCAGCTTTGAAAAGAGATACGGCCCAGCTCACATGACACCAGCTCCGAGCCCGCTGACACCTACGGGACAGCGTGTCCTGCTCCAAGCTGTCAGCTCGGCTATTCTTGGGCTGTGGGCAAGCACATGCTATAGGTAGGCTGCAAGGGGGATCCCCGGGAAGGGGCTTCACGGAGGGTCTTCAAATAGCGGCCAACAACACAAAGGCACTTTACCGTGTCAAAAAAGGTGCGCAGAATTGCAATTGTACAAAATTCTACGGGTTTTTTTGAGATCCCCTCTTTTAAAAAGTCTAACTACAGAACCAGTATTGCAATTACATTTTTAAACATGAAAGTGTTGAGGAAAAAACATGACAGTGTCTGATACAACTGCTTAAAACCAGTGACTTGCACCCCATTCCAGATACTTGCACTCTGAGGAAAGGACCATGTTTTGAGCTGCATTTTACTAATCCTGAGGTTAGTTTGGATGTTCGCTGCAACATGTTGGATAGGAGTTATTTTAGACTACAGAAGAAAACCATAAACACCTAAGAAACGTTTAAATCTGTTTAGCCACCCCTTACTCCATCACTCCATTCAGGCTACACAATCTGTGCGCTAAGGAAGTTATCTCCTGGAATCCAACAGTTACCATGAAACCCTTCCTTGTAATTAACACAAGCGTTTGAATGACGTTTGGTAGCATACCAAAAGCCGTATCTTCATTCCTTCGAAAAGGAATGATCTTCTCAAGTTGAATGAGTTACAATCTCCCACCTCACTCGGGCTGTATGGGTTAGGATGGAAGTATCTCACGCTAAGAGAAGCTGTTTCTACGTATAACACCATGTGAACGTTAACCACACCGCAGTAAAAAGGCTGAACTACATGACATTTCAGCTTAGTTAAAGCATGTAATGCCTCATTAACTGACAGTGATATTAATAGGTAATGAACTTTCCTTTAATTGTCTTTTTAAAGTAGCAATCTTAAATGCAACACTTAATTCACCAACATCTAGAGCCAGTGGTCACCATGTCTAAACCAAAGTTATGTCTCCCCATCTAATTCAGTCTTTGACCTGCATGAGAAGGGGGAGAAAATAGATCTACTATCCTGGTGTATTTTAGGATGTAACTCTACTAACAACTGGACCAAGATCAACAAATTTACTTTACATGTCACTTCTTAGCAGCAACAGTATCATTGACACAATACAGCATCAAAGAAATCAAACAGGGAAGAGAAAAAAAGCTACTCAACACAAAACCAAGCAGTGACAATAACACTCCAGATTCGCTCTCATTT